AGACTAAGACCTCACTAAAAATGAGGTCAACAGTACTAGAAAAACCTTAATCTACAAATCCTTTTACATAACATTTTTCAGTTATTTTAACAAGAGCTTAGGTTCACTCGTCTTTGCATTGCACCATTTAAAGATGATAACTTCAACTGTAAGACATAACTTCTGCTAGGACCTCATATCAGACTATAAGGTATGGCATCTATAGCAAAAAAAATTATTATGCATGGAAGTCCAAGTGTACGGACAACGGTGGATGGGGAGGCCACATCACCGCAAATTCACGTGTGTGACATTGATTTCGCATCCACCGTTGCTCATATGTGCAGTGTCCATACGTAATAATTTCTCTTATAGCAAGTGGAAAAATGAAAAATATCATTACATGAATCAGTCTACTTGTCAGATATATTTCATGGCAACAATAAATCGGAATAAATATATATAATAAACTAACCAGTTGCAGGGCCATTGGTATACTCATATGAAGATGTTCCCAATTTGACAGATTGTCACCTGTCCATGTGGCAGCATACCTCTGACTTCCCATGAAGCCAGCTCTAGTAAGAACAAAGGGACGCTTTTTCTCATTGGCCATTTTCATTCCCTCATAAGTTGATCTTGCCATCAGCATGCCATAAACCTGCAGGTCAATTAGTTAAGAGATTAAACCTCTGACTATAACCGTTACAGTTTTTACAAGATGTCAATATATATGCTCCAGAAACTCAAGATTATAAATGATTGATGTAACTTTTCCGAAGATGTCAATACATAAAACGCTCCAACAACTAAAGATTATAAATGAAAAATTAGAATAATAACAAGCAGAAAAATAGGCCACATTCACAGATAAATAAATATGAGTGATGGAAAACTTACATTATGATAATGAGAATGGGTTTGTCTTCCACCAAATTCAGCATCTGCATTGTGGACGTTGCTTTCAGGCATTGTCTTTGTAACTGTCTGCGGATTAGAATTGCTAACTTTTACCAATTTTAGAAAATGTGAGGAACAGAGCAGGTCACAGTTTCCAGACACTTACTTTGAAAACGGCGGGTTCATTCATATCATTCCATATTCCATCAACACCATTAGATACAAAATCTTTCACCAAATTAGCCCACCACACTCTTGCTTCTCGTCGTGTAAAGTCAGGAAAAACACAAGGCCCAGGCCATACCTCACCTAAAAATGAAACAATTGTAACATCAACTTCAAATTATAACTCATTATCACTAAATACAGTATCTTTTATAACCCTTACCAACGAAAGGTTTGCCATCTTCTTTCTGGATCCACACACTATTGTTAGAACCACTATCATAAACATAATAACCCTCCTCATATTTGATACCGGGGTCAAGCATCCATACTGCCTTGATACCCATAGCATGAAGATCTCCCACCAAAGCTTTTGGATCAGGAAAGCGCTCCTGCAAAGCACTCGAGTTAATACTAAGTCCTACAAAAACGTCCATTAAAAAAAAGAAGAAGAAACTGAAGAAGAAAAGGAGAACCCATCAATCCATAAGTTAAAACTATAAAAAGGGATAATAACAACAAAACTTTAATGCAGAAAGAACGTAAGCCAATTAAAGCATTATGAAGTTAGGAGTGTTTATCTGTATGGTAGTGAGGATACTTTGTGTTAGAAAAGAAAAAATGTCTTATTCATTAGAGTCACCTTATTCAAAATTTATTATTGGGGAATGAATACAACGTTCTAGGCTTCACGCAAATAGCATGCACCACTCATCAAATAAAGATAATTTTTCAATTTAACAGAATTATTACTAACACCAAATAATATACTTAAGCGTTAGAATAATTTAGTGTCTATTCACTAGATATCACTCTTTTAGCAGCTAACAAGAAGCTCTGTTGCAGCATTATGTACTCAAAAGTCTACAGAACTGCTTTTGGCATTCAAGTTCTGGGCGATCAAGGTCAAGAGCAACAGGCCAATCTTTGTTGCTGGGGTGGTTAATAGAGCATCAAACAAATTTCCAATGCTCATCACCCAATGCTTGCTACTATTAGTTGTATTCTGCTGATTGTGTCAGCTGATTACTGAACGATGGGTTTTTTAAGGATGGATCATGTCTTTTGTAAAGTATTTGTTGATGAAATTCAGGAAACCTGTTATTACTGGTTTGGTCATGTAGTTGCTGGTTATGGATGAATCTTATATGACTTGTGAGGTATTGACCAGTGAAATTCAGAAGGCCTATTGTTAATACTTCGGAGAAATAGTCTCTACATTTATTACTTTTTTGTCCTTAAAAGTACAGAAAGGTCCTTCGCTTGATAGAGAACAGATGTAGATATTTAGTAGGCATCCATCCTACTTTGCGTATTTCTTTTTCCTCTCAGTTTGATAACTGATGTATGAGAAATGAATTTAGTCCATTCCGTTCATTGACTCTGAAGACAAGCGTGTCTCATGTTGGATTTCAATTTATGGATGCATGAAGTGATAAACTGTACCATAAATCTCTGAGAAAAATTCTATTATTTGCATCACAATACTTGCCCTTGCTTGGTGCCTGTCAAGATTGCACTAGGAAACTTATTTGTTTCTTCTCAAAGGATAATGTTATTATTTGCATAATAAATTTGCAACTGAGATAACTGAATCCGACTCTGATATACACTTATGACTTTCAATTTGAACCTAAACTCTCTAATAACAGGACACAACACCTACCCTTGCTAGGTGCCGTCCGCAGTCCGTTCGCCAGCAGAATCCAGGCGTTCCCCGGCCGAACATTTCGAAGCTTCCTGCATTGAAGCTCTGCCGAAACAGACGCCTCCTTCCAGTCCGCTCCTACCAGAGAATATCAAAGAAGGTAACAATCTTCTTTCTCCTCCTATTCGTGCATTTTAGCTTCTCTAAATCAGTCTAGTAAATCCTCTAAACCCAGTCTTTCAATTGGAATTAATTTTTGCATCAATGTTAACCAAGATTTTGTTAACCCCATGAATGAGTGTTAACACAGATTTTGAAATGCTTGGAATGAATTCTTTTTCAGTATTCCTGCATTGGATTTGTCTGTTTTGCAGTTACAATATCAGATAATTTTTGCACTAAGGCTTAAAATTAACTTAATTTAATTTTTTCATTAAGGCTTAAAATTAACTTAATTTATTTGGAAAAAATGCCACAGAAAAGAGGTTCAGTTTCAATAGATACTAAAAAAAAATTCCAACAGAATTGTCTTCCCTAAACCCAATAGACAAAGAAAAAAATTAGGGCATTAACTGATTTACATACATACCATGATACCACACAATTCTCATGTGTTTGCCCATCCAATGCATAAACATTCTTATTTAAAACCGGCTACCAAACAGCCCGAGTGTGAGATGTTTGTTTCTGAGAATGTTGAAAGGAGATGTTTGTTTCCGTTAGATGTGGAAAAAGCTTTTTCAAATTATTCCAACATCATTTTGTATGCATTTTTTTTATATGAAATATACATTGTTTTGCCTGTGTTATAATTTATATTGGAAAAAGAAAAGGAAGGTAACTTCATTAAGCTCAAATTATTCGTCTTTCTGATGGCATAACTCACTTATGGAGGGTAGTCCCATAGCTTTACAAATTATTCATAAGCCAAGAGTTCTATGAACTTCAAGCTTCATTAAGTCTTCCTTTTTGTTTGGCTATCTAAATAAGCAAGTTTTTCTAATATTGATTTAAGATTTCATAGGACTTTAAAATTGGTCTACTTTAAGTTAGTTATTAACAAATCTAGTCTTCATGACAATGTCAGTTTATTTCATTGAATTCTACACAAATGATAATAACAAAAGAAAAATAAACTTGAAGAGAAAAAGTTTTTTAATCTCCAATCAAGACCTTGGATCAAGCTTTATTTCCCAAGTAGGTCTGAAGTCGATATGCTGCAAGATTTACTTGCTATTGATGGCATAACGTCCTTACTCCTTATCATGCAAAACTAAATTAACAGTCTAAATTATCAACTCATGCATTTTGTTTCTATAAGACCATGTTGTTAGCACAAAATTTCTTCTCATCTCAATAGTCACCTTCATTTTTGCATATAAATAACTTAGAAACTTGGAGAATATAAAATACAATTCTTATTCTAGGCTCCTTTCATTTGCATATATAACAATTAATTATTTGATTCACTTCTTTAACATATACTGAATGGATCCATTGTTGACCTCAATTTTCGTGAGGTCTAGTATTCCTCTTAGGGTTTAGGATCTAGCCTTAGGAATCTCCCTTCGACTACCTTAGACCCTTAGAAGTGGGGCCCGCCTCATTCTAGAAATTCAACCCGCTTCCGTCCCCTTCTGGAGTTTCGCGTGTGGTATCAACTTCTAGCACTTAGAAGGATGAAACCAACATGAGGAAACCCAAAAGGGATTCCCTATAGGACCTTCCTGAGTCGTAGGGTGGCCTTTTGCACAATTCGCACT